CCCAGTAGCTTCCATTTCCATTTAAGATTGTATCTTGCACTTACTCTCAGTGACTTATATCAGGGATGAGCTTGTTATTCCATAATTACATTGTGCACTTATTCAGATACAAGGGCTGATGGATTCACGATGCTAAGCTAACGGGGGGAATTTAGAAGCAACATATGAAACTGGGAAATATATTTTCTATTAATTGGAAATTGAATTAGGGCATTTAAATCTTTTAAGTAACCTTACAAAATCCTTTAGTCATTTCTCTTTTCGGTAGATTAGGAAGAAACGTTCCCAGTTTACTCCATAAAGGGCCAATTCAGTGGTCTTCTACTTTATTCTGAAGAAGCTATTATTCATCACTGTTTCAGATAGAAGAATGGATTAAAAGCTGACAACTGGTGTAATCCAGTGTAGCAATTCCTACATTCTTATGAGCAGAAATAACCATTGAAGATTCTTCTCCTTAGATGATTAAATTTAGTGTTACTCGATGGTAGTCAGTGGACCTGAGCCAATGTACCTCAGCCACGGATCTTGCCTTTAGTGATTTGTTTGGAGAAAAGAAATGTTTCTGTTCATTTCTCAGCAAGTATTGGTGATTTACAAGGTTTGGAAAACCAAAGAGCCACACCCAATATCCAAAAGGAGAAGAATTCGATTACCATTATCCGAGTCATGTTCTCATTGAGAAATGTCTAAAATGGAACACAAAATCCCAGCTGTCCATAATAGACATAATTACACTGATTCCAGTTGGTGCTTTTCAGACACAATCATGGAGAGGACTTCAAAGGGGCTGGCTGGGAGGGAAGTTTAGTGGGAGAGGAGAAGAGGCGTAGAAAGCGGAAATAGGAACAAATAATAACCATGAGGATAGGGACTAAGTCCACTCCTCCTCCTCTCTCTCGGGGCCCTTGTAGATCTCACCACAATAGTAACTGAGCTTTGAAGCCTTTCTTCCATTGACACTTGTACCTTCTCTTGAATCTGTTCCCTGTTGTGTGTTTCAGGTTTATCTCCATCACAGAAAGATGTCTTGCTCCAGCTTGTGCTATCCAGAATGCGGGGTGGCCCGTCCCAGTCCAGTTTCTGGCAGCTGCAACGAGCCGTGCGTTAGGCAGTGCCCTGACTCTGAGGTGGTCATCAGACCATCACCGGTTGTCGTGACCCTCCCAGGACCAATTCTCAGCACTTTCCCGCAGCAGAGTGAAGTGGCAGCCGTAGGAGCACCTGTGGTCGGAGCTGGCTACGGGGGCTCATTCGGTTTGGGGGGACTGTATGGCTCTGGAGGCTATTATGGAGGATTGTATGGTTTAGGGGGATTCGGTGGTTATGGGAGCCATTATGGTTATGGGGGATTGGGTGGTTATGGGGGATTGGGTGGTTACGGGGGAGGTTATGGGGGACTGTGTGGTTACGGGGGAGGTTACGGTTATGGTGGATTAGGTGGTTATGGGGGATTGGGTAGATATGGGGGATTGTGTGGTTATGGGGGAGGTTATGGGGGACTGTGTGGTTACGGGGGAGGTTACGGTTATGGGGGATTAGGTGGGTATGGGGGAGTGGGGAGG